ACCCGTTTTTGTCAGAAAAGAAGCATTTGAAAAACCTGACCGTCTAGCGACATCTGATCGTCCAAGCATGGACAATGTGATAAGTCAGCTGATGGCCTAGGTTCCGATACCAAGTGAAAACACAGTTTTTTACTATTTTCGAGGACGCATTCAGAGACGCATTATTGAAATCATCGCAAGGAGGATATCACAGGGATGGTACAGGCAAGTTTAGGCCCGAGTTGGAATACATTAACACATGAAGGCCATGAGAATTGAAGCCTTGTAAAATTAGAAATGGTGCGCATCCATCAATGGAAATTTATACCCAGCGTCATGACAACATCCGCCGGGGACTGCTGATTCTCTCACTGAATGAAAGATTTAGCGAGACCTTTGTTGGTAGGTTGACTAACTGATGATAAGTTTGTCGGTTCGCACACTGAAATCAAGGTGCCATCCCTAAACTTTATTTGCGTTCTCACGTTGCGATACAGAAATTTCAACAGGATGAAGCTCGCATTGACCGCGCAGCTAACCCGTATTTTGAAGGATAAGAATTTCCAAAGTGTATTCCGGCAAACTTGGTTAAACGATGACGGTCCTGAGATCGCTACTTCCAAACGCTAAAACCGATTGACTTACGATCAACTCGTCTTAGCAAATTGCAACGAAAGGAACGTTTAGTGGAGCACGGTTCAACAGGTTTTCGATGGAGTTTTGGCGTGTGCCTTAAATGAAGCCGTTGAATTGGCTTTCAATTTAGGACTTTGTCAGTGCTAAAGGTCATTCTTGACAACCGTGCCCATGCATAAACAAACTCAGCAGTTTATTCAGTCAAAAATCTATTTACAGTGTTTTAAGTGATGCAAAAGTATGGCGTTGTCATTTCTACTAGCTATTTTATATGGCTCAAGCATCTAACAATGATGTGGTTTGGATTAAACAGCGTTTAATATCGAAAGCTGCGTCGGTGAGTTCGGAAACCTTGGTAATGAAACCAGAAAAGTGGACAATATTGTGCGGATTTCCTGAAGTTAATACTCATTTGCTCACATTTACTTCTTGATGTAAGGTGCGATGAGTAAACATGAGCGCAACGTCCTTTGAATAGAGATGGTACAAATTTGTGGGTGAACCCGATTTTTTCCAAAAGTTGCGCAATATACCTATCTTGCCCAGACATTACAGGAACGTGTTTTCGAATATTCTGGTGTTTGTCTGGTGACTAGTAGTTACATTCAGGTTTAGAATATAAAACTGAAGCACCAAGACCCACGTTGAGTGCAGCGAAACCACTGCAATATGTAAAACGACTTCCATCGAAGAATATATCAGGCACCAAAGGCTTCCTTGCTTAGGTCATGTATTGCACTCGTTGAACAATCGTTCGCTGTGTTCCGAGCCAAATTGGCGGGGCCAGAGGCATGGTTATGCCTTGACCTAGCAATGCGGCGGAAATGAGATTACGAAGAGTCTATACGCTGTCGGTGTGACTCGACTTCTAGGGTGGGGACAGCGTGAAACCAATGCATATTGTTGTGGACGCCGCACGATATGCCTGGTAATCAACGCCAAAGGATTTCCTGTCAATTTTTATCCCGAATCACTGTGGAGATCTGTGTATGCACCTCGTAAATTTTGTGATAGGTGTGCATCAACTCAGCTTGTGTTTTGTTTTTCACAATCGGACTTTCAAAACTTTATGCTTGTACTGTAGCAAAGCTTTCATGTTAAGTACTGATGTTATGCCGTACATGATGATGATGATGATGATAACCCCACATGTCTGCATCGATGTTCACATGACATCGCCCTTCTAGGGACCTTCGTGTTGAGCAAGTTCAGCAGCAACTGGGCGTGTTTTATTAGCCCTCTCCTTTTTGTCTTAATATTCCAGGACTTCAGAAGTCTATCTTAGAAAAATGGCTAACGAATGAGGTTGTCTTCAGAATATTTCTGCCACTAGAACACCGGTTGATCAATCCTGCATGTTGGTGATGGCTCCCCACCCTCCAAGGACCCTACTTGACTAAGATTGTTGATCATGATAATTGCTTCCTCCTTCCGATTCATAAGCTCGTCGCATGAAACTTCACTTGATCAAACTGATACCAAGGGCGATTTGTCAAACGTAGTAGCGATGCATATGCAGAAGCATTCGCTCAAGACAATCAGTGGTGCGAGATTATGACCGTCGACCATAATCATTCGCGTGCCCCTCTTTTGAACCTCTCCGATACTAACGTGTCCAATGTTTGTAGCTATGTGTCAAACATTGTTTCCAATTTCGCATGGGTTTGGTAATTGAAGTTCAATTTAGTTATATGATTACACTGCTTCATGATCTTTCATTCCGTTGGGTGATGCGATGAATACTTGCGCCATTACCCAGCACTATGTTGACATAATCGAACAACTATAGAAATCCTGGGCAGCTGGATGTGGGTTATTGGATTATCTTTAGAGGGCTGGTGATCATCCATAGAGTGTTTGGATTGGGTACCAATGTTTCTACTACGTAAACAAACAAAACAGAGTATATTTAATAAACATATTTATTTTGAAACGCAGCCTCTCACACAACGGATTGCTGCGCGATAAATAACAAACAGAACTACAGGGGACTAACGAGCTACGCGGGGAAGAACATGCTGTAGGGCCAGGAAAACAGAATGCCGGAAGTTGAGTAGTTTTGGAAAAAGCCACACAGTTGCATCGTTCAGTGATGTTGTACGATGTAGAGCAAAAGGTCGTTTGGAAGAGAGAAAAGTCCCAGAAACATCATTTGATAACTAATGGAAAGGTTAGCTTACTGCATCTAATGAGATTCGCAGAGAAAGAATTATTTTGCATTGTCGCAAGGCGACGGACTGAGCTTTCAAAGCCCTGTGAACAAGTCCATGTAGTTGCGAGTTTCTAATGTTTTCAACCTAGATATTTCCAGACTGGATTTTGCCGAATTCGTGATGACTCAGAAGATCAATATTACTTTTGCAGGTCGAAGACTTTGCTGATACTTCTGCGTCTCTAATGATTCTGCAGAACCGTTGTAAATCTTGAGCATATGGCTCATAAAATCATAATAAGTAGAAATAAGATTATGCCTCGAAGGTGCTGCGTTTCCGAGAATTCCTGGATATGGTTGGCAAAACCATGTGTAAATTTCCTGAGAAATCTGATGGCAAATTACGTCTCAAATCATCTGCGGGGGGACTTACCGTTAATTTATCAGCTATGTTTCGGCACTGCTCTTGTTTAATACCGTCGGTAGCAGGAAAAAATCAATGTAATGGTAGAAAGCTTCGCGCATAAGAAGCAGGGAAAGACAATCAATTCCAGGAAACATCAGGTTAACCGCCTGAATGTTGCGGGTCATCCGGTTGCAGAAGCGACATTAGAGTTTCTGGTCAGTTATGACCGAAGGGTAAACATTCCCGAATTTTTGGCTCAATTGCCAGGCCAAGGAAGACACTTTCTTTTGCGTGGTGTGTTCTCTTCAGAGCACTGTCGAGGCGTCAGGTTATTAATAGCCATAACCTGGATTTTCACAATAATTCACTGAACTCCTATGTTTGATCCAGATCACTTCAATAACAGGTTATTAATAGCCATAACCTGGATTTTCACAATAATTCACTGAACTCCTATGTTTGATCCAGATCACTTCAATAAAAAAGAAACTCCCGCTCTGGTTCTCCTCGGTTTCGCTATGCATGCATGCTGTGAAAGTTAGTCATTCATTCAATGACATTTATGTAAACCTTTGTTTCTATAACTTATCACGAATCTGACACTAGGCTTCGTGATGTGATCCTCCCAAACTAAAGGGACATTTCGGGACAGGGTGGCGGTGTTGATTTGGGAACTCGTTTATCTTTAACACATTCCGTTTGGACGATTGTTCAAAAATCCGGTGCGTAGAATTATGCCGAAAAATAACCGCAGCTGTGTGCCGTGACATGGATCCCTCTCAGTTGAAAGCAGTCGACAAATCCTCAAGCTGGAATTGTGGATGTCACATTTGTCAGCATGTTTCGATAAATAACATGAGAACCTGAAAATACCGTCCCTAACAAAAAATAAACTCTTGTACGTTTATGAACTGATTATTTGCCGGCTGGCAAAACAGTAATCAATGTCGATAAAAGCATTAAATTTCTGACCATTAACACCCTTTCCACATGCGATCCTGCGAATGCCAGACCTGACATACCTGGAAAAATGAGCCGTTATTAGTAAACCACCAAATATTGGAAATTGGCGCAACATTCTTAGAAGCAACATGATCGATAAACTAAGCTAAACCGTTCAATTTCTTCAGCATATTTTGATTGAAAATAAGCATGGCAGTCGGCAACACATTGGTCGTGCAGAAAAATACAGGAAAATACTACGCGTTTATGCACAGGCTGAGAATTGTTGTCCTAGGTTTTATTCAACTCCCAGTGGAGAGGTGGGCTTGTGTTATCCAATACGATCCAGGTTGTTTAACTCATGGTTATACTTTCTCATGTCAGTGAACTTCATGCATGTATCAAGCGTGTTTTTTGTTTAGATGGCCTAAAGGATAGATGAAGACGACAAGACATTAATCAAACCATCATCTGGATTTGGACAAGTTTG